GATGTAGCATATCCGCAGCCACAATTAGTCAGTTCAAATTAAAGTATGAGTTTAATTAAATCTGATAGGATAAGCCTCAAATGAGGAATTTGCATTTTTCTGTAAATGAAAAATGGACTTGGTAGTGCTGCCTTGACCACCTAAAACACTGAAATGTTCAAGAAATGGGAATCCATTTATAATTAATCATAACTGCTTAAATTTTTTTCTTTTAAATCAAGTTTTGAAAACATGTCAAACGCGAATAATTGACTTTTTGAATGTTCGATCTTCACTTCAGTGGAATACATTGTACATTGTTTTCATAGGGGATTCTGATGGACTTTGTCATATCAGCTGCTACCTTTCAAGTGTTTGGATTCTGCCAGAAACAAGCTTCTACAGTACAAATTTTCTCATTTACAAGAAAACTTTACCTTCTTTTTTTCATGAATTTTACATTCAAATATTCGAAATCGAAAAGCAATCGAATACTCGATAAGGGATGGAATATTTGGAAATTTGGAACAGCCCTAATTCATTCAAGGCGCACACAAAATTAACAGGAGGAAAATATTGGTCTTTGAATGTTTTAAATGCATTGCTTTAATTTGTTCACCGTTTTTTTGAGCTTCCACTTTTTAAACTATTAAATGACTTTATGTTTTGGGTCTCGTTAATATATATTTTCACCTATTGGAGTAGCTAGGCCATATTTTGTATGTAAAAAGACTGATTGGCGGGGTGATGCCGACAGCAATTGTCTGTGGTTCCGTTTTTCTCCGTTAGACAACTCTCTGCATATATCATTTGATCTTGAGGACACAGGAGATGCTTGAGCACATGGTAATTGGTTTCGCAAGACAAATTAATATGGCGACCAAAATTTCAAATTGATTGCCATAACAACGAATAAGAACTTGCAACTAAAATTTAAAAAACACGCCACTGAATGGAACTATGCACCATGTTTTTCAGTGAGCAGTAAAAAGAACATATAGCATACGAGGAAATATAAACGAGTTACTACTTTGTTCGTGATTGCCAGTGTACAAAAGCAATAGTACAAGTGTTGAAAAGGATTGAAATATGTTATCTAAAGGGATTTTGCGTTTTAAGTTTGTTTATTTGAGCTATGACCTTAAAAGCAAGGTGTAGTTCCAGTTTGAAACCAAATACTTTAAACAGTTGGACATTGTTATTCACTAGGCCCGGGAATTTGACTTTAAACGTTTTTTTTGCCGACTTCTGGAAGTGCAATGCTTTGAAGTTGAAACAAAAATTGCTTCATAAAATCTTCGCTGGGCGTATTTTTGTGAAGCCCCTTTTTTCCAAACTGTGATCAGTGGCTTGTTGACGGGGGCTCTCAACTCGCTGTTTGGGTGCTAAAAACCTCCAGATTTACTCCTTACATCCCACAGTTCGAATTTGACCCCACCGATAATAGTATACGAGTGTTATGAAAACTTCCTGTTACTCCCCAAGTGAAGGTTATCTGCATTCGCTGCTGTATTAGGGCCTTTAAGTTGTAGTCCATCACACGATCCAAGAACCAGAACACAATTTTGTTGATCTACTTTGCAGAAAATCTTACCCCCCCCCCAAAAAAAATCTCCAGTTTCTGGTCAGTGCGCGCCGCGCGTCGCCGTAGACCCGTGCCTGCGTGTCGGCAAAATAAACAAGTTTTTAATAAGGTATAATATACGATATCCAAAAGCTGCCAAACTTGCTTGATAGACTGGAACCCTGCTGCTGCGTAATTTTAACGTCTTTTAGATGGGGCCCGATTGAGTAATATATACAGTAAAGAGTCCCCCTAGGCTTCATATATTAAAAGTCAGTCACTCTTTTTCAGATGACGCCAGTCCTGTATTAGAAACCTGCTGTTTGAGTGAGAAGAACACTGAGAATATTGCCCCCAAAACAAGTTGTCAGTTCTTGTTATATTTTTGGTCTTTTTGTTGGTGCTAACTTATTTATTCACACTTCTCATAGTAGCAAGGCCATATGTTCTAAAGCACGTATGAGGGAAAAAACGCGTCGTAGCACCACTTGGAGCCAGCCCCTGACCAGAGACTGGAAAGGTTTTGGGGCCTTTATGCACAAAAGCAAACGTAACTTTGCAGAGCATCAGCCAATTAAAAGCAACACACCACGTCAAGACTTTGGGGCTTGTAACATTTTTGTTGTGCAAATAATTATTTCAGTGCTAGACAAAATTTCTTTGCGTAGTATATATAGCCATGAATTTGGTTTCAGGTCGATGCGTCCCTTTAAGTACCGGTACAGTTGATAACCACTGCAATCTTACCCGGGGGAAATGTGTTGTTTTATTTCCTGCAGCTCGACGTGTATAATTAATGGAAAGTTTCACTTTCCTTTTAATGTTTTGCACAGTGCGAATTGATATATAGATCTCCCTTCACTAAGAGCTCTTGCATAAACAGTTACTCCAAGGTTTGGTGCATTCGTTTGTTTCATTTAGTTTTTAGATTATGCTCGTTTAGCTTCCGTATAGAGCTGACACACCACTCTAATTGGTGATCTTAGTCAGGGTCATACATTGAAATGTAATCTCTCTGAAAAGTTGTTAAAACTGGGCAGTCGTTAATGTAGATTGGTAGCCAACGCGCCACGTTTTTGCCTGTGAATAGACTGGTAAAATCACCGATGGACAACTATAAGTTGCCTGTGCTCTTGAACTTAGTGCAGTTTCCTTCTTTCCCCTTGACTAAATACAGAGCTCCTCCTCGTGTTGCTGTGGGGCGTCCTTGTGAATTTGTGACAAGTTCCTTATCTTCTGGAGTCTGAACAAATCAAAGTGATCCACACACTGCATCGAGGGTGCTCATCATGGCAAGAGATAACACCGTGAAGGGACTTTTTCTGCTTCTCCAAGTTCTTCTGGTGTCTCACCGTGAACCCGTGCTGGCTGTGTCAGACACGGAAAGCGGCAATCCACCGAGGAACTACGAAGGCTGTCTTCAGGGGTGTTTTAATAATACAGACGTCTCATGTGTCGGCTATGGACTTACGACCATCCCGGATACTCTGGAATGTAAGAAAGCTATGATCTTGGACCTGAAGCGAAACCGCATTAAGCAGCTTCCCACGGGAGTCTTTTCTGGGTTCAGGGAATTGGTGATCCTCTTGCTGAGCGGTAATGAGATAGTAGATATCCCCTTGGGGGTCTTTAGTGACCTAGAGAATCTGCAGTCGTTGTATATTGACAAAAACAATCTCACCAGCCTTCGCGAGGGTGTATTTCGAAACCTGACGAACTTGCACAATCGGCTGTTGCTTACAGCAAACCAGATTACCGAGATCACCACCGGTGTGTTTGAAACCCTGAGTCTCGTCAAAACTTTGGCTATAGAGGAGAATCGGATCACTTCCATCCAGGCTGGCGCCTTCCGAGGCATGAACAGTCTTGTCAATTTGGTTCTGAAGAAGAATGTCATCTCCAGAATCGCCAGTGAGACATTTTCGGGACTGGGTACGTTGGAAGTCCTCGACCTGAGCGAGAACCGCATCGAAGCCCTCGACAGCGACGCTTTCTCTGAATTATCAAACCTGAAGCAGCTCAAACTCAACTCAAACCGCATCACTTCCGTGGCACCAATTGTAGGCATGCCACAACTGAACCGTTTAACGCTTGCAGACAATGAAATACAGTCAGTCGGAGACAACCTTTTTCTTTTGAGGAGGTTAGAAAAGCGAGACATCACTGTTACGTTCGAGCAGAACCCACTTAGCTGCAACTGCTCCACTGAATCCCTGAGGTTGTGGTACAAGAATCACGAATCAACCGGTGAAGAACAGGCAACTTGTCGGGCACCCGAGGATTACGCTGGTAGAGCTCTCGTAGACATCGAATCACCTCTTCCTTGTGATCAGCCAGCCAAGCCGGTCAGCACAAATGACCCTTCGAACAATGCTCGAAGTCCAAACGCTTTGCCTGACACTTCCACGTCCATTTTTACCATAGTTAGTGTTGGCCTGATCATCCTCATCGTTTGCGTTTTCGTGCTGATGAGAAGACACAGACGAAAAATGAGACAGAAAGCTGAGAACGACGACGAGAAAGAGAACCAGACAGCGGATGGTTACAGCACTTTTGTGTCTGACAACGCAGACGAAACTAGAAACACCCTTATAGGATCGAACACCCACACCGAGCCTTACCCGGCCCCAAATGTCAACGGACATATTTTTCTAGACACGGAACCGCGGGAGAAATCTTCCTATCTCCCTGTGACTGGCCAGTATCTGCACGTGGAGGAGCTCAATCATCCTTCCGAGTCGTCATTCGATACAAACAAGCCACAGCCGGCGCCCAAGGCACCGTCCTCTATGCCTCCTCCCCCGCCGGTTTCACCAGTCTCGCCGGTGTCATCGGTCTCGCCGGTCTCGTCGTCGTCTCTGCAGCCCGACGTCGTGTGCAGCCTTGACGTTGACGAAAGGGGGGAAACGGTCATCACTTTGGGTCCGATGTTTACTGAGGATGACGAGTCAGATCATTTCGAGCAACCACCTCAAGAAGTCATTTATGCCAAACTGGACCACTCGAAACAGGCCCCTGATAGCCCCTGTTATTACAGAGGCTACATAGCACCGCATAACTTGGTGGAATGTAGGACGTAGAACAAGTTGAACAAAAATTAAACGTAGAAAATGTCTGTCAAGAGAAGCAAAGTTGTGAGAGTGACACTTCATCAGACTTACGAAAGCGTATGACATCTTCTTGTGCTTATTACAGAGTAGTGATTAACCCGTAAAATCACTTTACTGGAAAAGTTATTCAATGTCTGTATCATAGCAGTTGTAAAAAATAAAACTGTCATATGTGCCCCTTTTCTTTTAACGTGACACATTGTAAAATAATTTAGCAATTTTTGTGGGGAAAGGAACCAAGGCAAAGGGCTTTTGTTGGTATTAGTAATCTTCGAGCCTTAACTTTTCTTGATATTCACATTCAAACTGCATTTATTGTGTGTTGTATATGGTTCGAGTATTTTCAGGTGTATGGATTTTTTATACTAGTTTTAGACAATGTTTGGATAACAACAATGTCCATACTTTCTAAAATCTTAATTATTACTAGACATCAATCATTTTATTTCCCCAGACATCACTTTAGTTTTGCAATTACTTCTTGTTAGGGCCCAGGGCTGTGTAGTTTATGCAGGTTACGGTCCTATGTGACCATGGTAAATTTGTGTTTGATATTGAACATTATTTTGTACTTAGAAAAAAGTAATCGGTTAATCGATAATTAGCCATGCTTTGCTGTGAATTTGCCATGGAGTGCTCAAGTTTTAGCTTCGGTTTGGGGTAGCACGAGTGTCCGGGCAAGCCAGTTGGGGCTATAGCGGTCATTTCCTCTTTCCGTTCGAGTGATTGCTGCACCTGAAATTTTCGGACGCAGCCATAGCCGATGATTAGCTATTTTTGTGCTTACGCCTCGGTTTATAGGCCTTTACCACTTCGCGGCAGCAGCTGCAGCCTTAGAATACAGTAGTTCTGTAGGCTTTTGTCAGTCGTAATTTCGTAGTCAAGTGCTTATAATAGATGTAGCTGTAACTCTGGCTGTCCTTACATACTTGACCTTTGATCTATATTTTTATTTTAGGTGTCACATAACACACAAGAAGTTGGTTTTTCTGCCAAAATGAATACCGTAGCCGATATAACTCAATAAATGAGTTCTATTAATAGCTAATGAGGTACTAGAATTTTGATCAGTAATTTCTTTACACTTTCAAACTTTACGCCACTTTTGTTAGGTTTCCTGTAAAATCCATTTCTTCCCAACAAAATACAGGTTAGTCCCATACTGGCCATGATCCTGGCCGCTAGCGGACATAAGGCTTTTGAGAGCCATTTTCTTTCGTCATCGCAGTCCTGGGAAAATGGTTTTAATGTCTTGAAAAGAAATTATTCATTATACCTTGTGGTTTTACTCCGCTGTNAAAAAACAAACAAACTGCAGAGCCATGAATTAGAGAAATAAAAAAGAGGAGAATCCAAGTGAAACAAATGTTTGGGGATTATGTAGGCTCCATTCAAGCCTGGTTGGTTAAGCTAAAGAAAATCGCTTTTGGAGTCTCAGATAGCAGAAAGACCCAAAGGGAACGCTGCTGATGAAAGGAATATATAAAATTATGAAAGCCTAAAACGTTGAAGGTGTAACCTGGTTACATAATTAGTTGTTAAACGTCAATTTGACAATTGTTTTCTGGGTTGCACGGAAAAGCCCATCCCCAACCACTCATCTTCCCTCATCTACAGGCGGCCACTTTCCAAAAAGGTCACATGTAATGCCAAACACAGCTAACGGGTACAAACCACTTAATATAATTCTCGTGGTATCTAGTTCTCAAAAGTTAAACTTCCAGCCTGTATGCCTATTTTTGGCTACATTCAGAACCAGGCCTGAATATTTTTTTCGGGGAGGGGAGGAGGATAAAAAAATGGGCGCCGGTAACACTTTTGAAATTGAAAAGAAAGTTGTCTAGTGCTCATAATCTTGCGTTTCCGACAAAACGTCATTTGGGTGCACTGTCCCCCATTCAGGGAAGATTTTCTGCCCGGCCGAGGCGGTTTACAAAAGTACCCCTACAAATTCCTTCCTTAGGTCTGTCTGGGCCAAGAAATTATGGGATTGTGTAAGTATGGCCCAGGATCATCTCTGTAGATTCAGAGGCACCCATCCGGGGGCAAAGCAGACAAGAATGGGTTGGAAAATTAGTCAGAGGAGCCCGAGGGATGTCACTTGAAAAATGGCCGCTGGGAAGACTTGGCAACATGCACTTTTTGGGGGGTGAGTTTGTTTGGGCGGATAATTAAAAAAATCATTGGTTAACCTACTAAAAATTGAAAATCAAATTAAATCTGAAGAACCAAACAACACATTGTTTTTTGTTTGAGAGGCCTCAGGGACTTCAGTTGCCTGCCATGGGGCTCCAACTTGGTTGATTTTACACTATTTTCAATGGAGCTTGAATTGATTCAGTGCACCCATCGACCTGGAGGAGAATGGTGTAACTTAAATTAAAGTACTCTAATGTTTGGCTCTTTTGCATCTTACTTGATTTTTGTGGGCACTTTCAGACTTACTATTGTTCTTACAACCTTAAAGTCAAGAAGTATAAAAACAGCTGAAGCCTCAGTGCGATGGAGCCCAAGTCGAATATTGGAGAACTGCCCACGTAAAAATCAAATCGTCAAATCGCATACGAGGTGACGATGGTGCAGCCTGGTGACGCATCGGATCGACGGTTAACACTTGTGTTGCAAAGCAAATCTCTGATTGAGCCGTGATTTCGCCTGGGTACCGGACCTTGTCACGCGCGCTGCGTGTTTTTTAATTGACCATGCGTGTTTGACGTCGCGCCGTACATGTACATGTACTTGTAATGATAGTGTACATACCGAGTTGCTCAACTTTTGCTCAGATCGTTTAATTGTCAGTTTTCACAGACTTTCAGTGTTTCTTGTTCTTTAAAAGCCAACCAGCTTCAGGGTGGTTTCACCATGGCTTCGGCATCGAAGTTAGAAATGGTCAACCGTACACTGAGGGGAGTATTGCTGTCGGAAAAAGGCGGAGTTGCCATCAACAGAGTGCAAGGCACGGTATACACGTCGTTGTTGTAACTCGACATACTTTACCGTTTACTCTGTTATGTCCAAAGATCGTATAGCGCCGCGTAGCAGTGCAAGATGGAGGATTCGATCAAAAAGTGTTATTGTTAAGCCCCAATTATAGCATCAGTCCCAATTATAGTTGGGCCTGTCCCAACTAGAGTGCTACAGTTGGGCAGGCCCAACTACAGCAGAGAGGTCCTGTGTGCATGATGGGTCCAGCATGTGCCAAAGTCATATTGTTTACCCTTGTCATGTCATTGGTCATAGGGCTAGATGAAGTGCCACATTTTAGATGAATTGTGTCAAGTGTGAGACACATTAACTTGGATGGTGTTGAGACATTTCCCACAGACATTGCTTAACAATAATTGGGCCAGCCCAACTGCAGCACCACAGTTGGGACTGGTTGGGACTTACATGTATGTATGCTATAATTGGGGTGTAACATTTTCACCGTGGTGCCATCCGAGTGCGAACATTAATGCTTAGGCGCAGGCACACCAGTGTCTGTTGCGTTAGCATAGCGTATTCCTACCCAAATATGCCAAATGGCGCCCATGTGATAACAACGTTCTTCGTGTGTTCGCAGTGAAGTTATCCATCATGTGCCGCTAGCCTATGCGGCACTTTATGTTCTTCAGTCGTTTCTATTATTGCGGTATCGGAAATTATGTACTTGTACGTTCCTTGCAGTTGTTTTCATCAGTTGCTACCCGCCATTTTGCGGGATATGTGGGATTAGGCTACACAAAATAACAGTTGTGCTTCCTATTTAAAATAAAAAAGGTTGGGTAGGTGGGTATTATCTTTTTTTTTTCCTTCTAAAGTGTTGGGTCAAAAATTTTTGGATGGGGAAATTATTATTTTTTTTTAAATGAAAAAGTGATTTTGATGTCAATGGTGTATTCCATCCACATTTTTTAACGCGGATTCATAACTTGATGATCAGTTTTTTCAAAAATTGTATCCAAGTTCATGTAAATTGCCCTTTCGAACAGGTTATATATTTGTGTCCCACCTACAATTTGTTAATGTGCAAAATGTGTTTGAAAGCTCTTGCAAAATGATGCATATAGAGCACCTAAAGCCTGTGCGATTATGCATGACACAATAACATTTTGCACCCTGTGCCAGTTGTCACGAAACCCTCTTTCTACAAAAGCGGAAATGTACTAAGCTTATTTCAAGCTATAAATTCACAGTGAGACGTGTGCTACCACGAGTTACAGTGGAGAGTATTAGTCACTACTTCCGCTCGCGCAGGAACGCCTGTAGTGAGTCCCACTGACACATACATGTATGAATATTGATGTTTCATTGACAGCCAATCACAACACAATGACTGGATGGTCCCAGGATACTTTTTACACACAAGGCTTGTGCTTTGAGTCGCACAGATGTGTATCACTGTACGCACCTACTGTACATGTGCATGTACAGTAGACTTAGTTGCGTGCATTATGGAGCTCTGGTAATCATTGGTGTTCGAGCGAGGATGTGCAAAGTTTGACCCGGCTATCGCGATGCGTCAGTAGAAAAAGAAAACAATGGACAATTAGCACTTATGCATGGAAGAAGCATGAGGAAAATCCAGCCTGTCGATGGCAGAAAAGTGGAAAATGAAATTTGGCACATTTAACTAAAAAGCAGAGATTTCACGCCCCTGAAATAAGCCTGAGGGTTGGCAACGTTTTTTTTCTTTTTTTTTGCCTGTTAATTGGTCGAAACTTGCAAAAGACTATTCTGTACACAGTCAAAAGGGTTAGGTTTGATGTGTCGCTTAAATCATTGAATACCACAGGTGATTACCGGGACTTTACTGGGACATCATTGCCGTTTAAGGAGTTTGGATATGCCTCACTTGAAGCCTTCCTGAGATCTATTCCAAATGTTGTGTCTCTGCACAGGTAAGGAGTCATTCATTACTTGGAATACTTATCTTGATAGGTCTACATGGCCTGATCCAGAGTAAATGTTGCTTTGGGGGAATCAGGATTTCTCTGGGTAATCTTAAAAGGTCTTCCCGAAAATGAAGCTGAATTCTGGCGCTTATTGCTTTCTTCTGGGAGGAACGAAAGTAAAAAAGTCCAACCCAATTGCCCTTTCCTCATGATTTAAAAATCTTGGGAACAAGATGTTGAAGTGTTAAATCTGAACGAGACATCCATCCTTGCCTGATGGACATTTTTGAAAATTATTTTCAGCTGAAGAAAACAATTACGCTGAATTTGCTTGGCATGTTTCTCTTCTATTTGATATCTCAGGATAGAAACTGCCACTCAGAAGGTAAGTTCTGATTATTGCACTAATTTGAGTTCTGAGTGTTTTCAAAATGTTTGCTCCCATCAAGAGAATCCAAAAGCTCAGGGCATGTCGCACCCTGTTCCTGAAGGGTATAAGACAGTGTGGTTGTAAATTTCGGTGTGTCATCCCTTCAATAAAGAATACTTTTCATTATATAAATCTGCAGGGGTCCTGATGGAGTGGTTCTTTGTAAGTGTGTCACAGATGACTCAACCCAACGTATTGGGAGCTTGGTTAACAGACAAAAAGGCAAGAAGAAAGGCAAAGGGGTAAGTTGAGCAACTTTAACCAAAGTTTAGATTCTGTCCTTTTCCTCCACTTCATGTGTTAACCAGACAGATGTCTTCTTGTTTGGAGACCTTGGTGGGCATTTTGGACACGTGAATTCGCAGGATTCCTCCTTCGAAGCTTGAAGTACGACAAAATAAAAATGTAGAGCCAGTGATTTTCCGTGATTGCAGGAAAGAGATGGAATTTGCGGAATCAACACTTTGAAACAGAGTCCACTGCTTGAAACAGAATTTGCAAAATTTCCCACTAAGAGTGATTTGAAAAGTAAAGAAAAGTTTCCGCAAAGTACTCTAAATAAATGCCTACCAAACCCTCTTAAAATGCTAGCTTTAATGAACAAATTATGCTGGAAACATGCTAACTTGCATCTCTATCACATGGTTGTGTCATTCATGCTGGTACTGATACTTGCAAGTGCCGTGGCTTGCATGAACCCCAAATGCTCAGTGGCAGCTGGCACAGCGCAGCGGTGTGGTGCGGTACATTTGCTGTTCACACGTGCACCGTACGTGTGGTACCGCTAGTAATGAAATTAAGGTGCAAACAACTTCATACTCACACATACAGGTATGCTTATTGCACATATGGGGAATTCAGTCAGTGGGACAAGGGTAGTACCACATGGCGAAACAATGAAACCGTTGTCAAAATGGAAGACTAATTACATGTACATACATGTATTTCTTGATTAAACAAAACCCAGTAAGCTCGGTGTACCTTGGTGTGTTTGATGAAGAGCAAAGTTTTCAGTCACTGACATGCATTTTAAGGCTCAGATTTAATGAGAACACTGTTGTAATCACATATTGTATTCAGTGACTGTTGCATGCAAGACTTACTCTGTGAGTTCACTGTACATGTACCGGTACTTGTATTTAAAGGATCCAGGAATTGAATTTTTCTTAGAATCACTTTTTGTGTATCTCTCTTCTTTCATGTACGTGTATGAGGACTGTTTGACATCTTTTTTGAGTTGGGGTTTGTGAACTGAACAGTGCACTTTTTCAAACATTAAAAATTGACCAAGCATTTCTGGATAAGTGAGGGAGCTTTTGCTTTGATGTAAATCCAGCAAGACGTGGTTCAAGTTAGATGTTTTCATGCGCAAATTGTGAACCCCAAATTTGCTATCTTGGAACATTTCTGTGAAAAAGATTTTTGCTGGATTATTGCCATTTACGTACACAGCAGTAAATTGCTAAAGAAAATGAAATCTGCCTTCGCAGTGGTTGAAAAAATATAGAAATTTTATGTGCACAAATCAGTGCAACATGACATTGAGATTCAGTGCCTTAGATGACATCATAGTTCTGTTCATGAATATGCAAATAGTATAAAAACCAAAAAAGCATCAAAATATGGGTTAAAATTGCAAAACTAAAATTTAAAATCAGGTGAATTGAAACCCAATGATGCAATTTCAAGGGTTTTAGTAAATTTGTTAAAAATATTTCTATTTCCTGGTTTCTTTAAATGTAATCTGATTTTATACACCATGAATGACACATGAATCAGGCATGATCTAGAGCACTAGAGGTTGCAGTGAAGGTCGCCTAGAGAGTCAGATTAAATCACATGACAAGGTTGAAAACATCCAAAAGAAAGACCCATTAGACAGGTGGGAACTGGGAATATCAATTTTATGTCACAGGTTTATTTCACAGAATATACCTCTCATAATGAAAATTCAATAAGAATCATAAATAAGAAGCATTTTGTGTGTTTTTAATGTAAAGTATGCCATAAAAAGCTTTTATATCTTTCACTCAAATTTCACTTCAACTGGGGCCAAACACTGCATAGAATGCACCACAGAGCATGTAAAATTCAAAATTTTCCGGGGCCCTAAGGCGGACCTGGACCCCATGCCGAACTGGCTTCGCGCTGCGCGCATGCAATTGTGTATGCAAGAATATTTTCCTCTTTTTTCAAATTGAAGAGTTGCATGCCTGATGAATTGTACTTTGATCGTAGCAAGTTTTTGACGATCACGCTGGTGGGAAATCAAGGGGTGGGGGATGCCGCATTTATTGTGTGGATTTTTGTTTTAATATTCACTACAGAAAATTAGAAAAATAGTTAGAAACATTGCAGGGTATTTCTTAACAATGTTTCTTTTTGTCTTTTTTTGGAAAGGGGAGGAAGTATTGTCAGGTAAATAATTTCCATGCATGGTTTAATTTAAAACCTGCTCTCCTTTTTCATGCTTAAAGGTATGAAACAGAATTTGACTTTCTGAAATGGAATTTGGGATTTGGCAAAATGAAAAATGCTCATTTTTAAAACAGAAAATCTTTGGCTCAGCAAATGCTGCATGAGGTGTCTGTGCAAAATGAGGGTTTTGGAGGATCAAGGAATGTTCCTCAAAAGAATGCCTGGTGAGTTTACATTTCACATATTTTTCAATGTATTTTTCTCTGCTCGTCTTTCCATCTAGTCTGGCATCACCGCAAAACCAGGCAGACCGAATGCTCGTCTGGCCAAACCTGTGTACCAGTCAAACCCAAGCCACAAACCCCGGCCAATCAGGCCCAAGTTCCAAGCCAGTAAGCAGGCTCCCCAGCAAGTGAGGTTTCTCAAGCAACAGAACTATGCCCGACCGGGTCAGCAGTCCATTAACTGGGTGTCCAGTGGCCCTCCGAAACAGACTCCCCCAACTAAGCAGCTGTCCACTAAGCCCACAAATAGTTCATTCTCAGCAAACTCTTCTAAACCGAAGCAGCACTCTGCATCGATAGTCTATCAGTCTGCAGCATCATCAAACGAGGCTGCATTGACAACTCAGCAGCCGGCCCCTAGACCATGGTCTGGCAAACTCGGCGCAAAGCGCAATAAGCAGCTGGCCAGTTCCACCCTGGCAGACAACCTGCAGGGTCAGCCCGATGAAGCAGCCAATCAGACCGGCCAGTCGGCAACTTATGAGAATATTTACATCACGGTGGAGAATGACAGCTTCCAAAAGGACAGGTCCGGCAACAGACCCAAGACAAAATTTGCCAAGGGAAAGAAGCAAGAGTGGTCAGCCAACTTCGATGTGCCACCTCGTTTTAAGAAGTTGATGTCACCAACAACAGGTGTCCAAGGTGAGGCACTTCCTCCCAGTTCAACATCGCAGAGTTATTGCGGAGACAGTATTGATTTATTTTGGCTGGGCTGCACAATTTTTCTCTTCACAGCCGTAGGTTCCCTACTTCTGAATTACATTCCAGACAAATTGCTCAGAAGATTTTCCAGGTTTGAGAACAGAGTCACATGTTTGTGGTTTTATCAATTGTTCCTGCATGTGTATAGTATTCACTATACCACTAAAACCCTTCGGGACCCATCAACCCATCAATATTTGACACTGTTGACAGATCAGACATACATGTATTCGACCCATTAGACATTTTAGACTCATTGGGCATTTGACATATGAAATGCCCTGATGTTAGGGAACATTTCATAATTACAGAAGGCGGTATTTACTGTGGTACCGCTGTATTTTTGCGGTACCAGCATTAAAACCTTTCGGGTAACTAGTGTGGTGCTGCTAAAAAAAACAGCGGCACCGCAGTAAATATCGCCTTCAACAATTATGAAACGCTCCCTTACATGGTCGACTGTTCGTATCAGGCACATTATACCAGATACTGAAGGCCCCTGAAGGGCTTACCTGCCTTACATTGCAATAAATTCCACACCTTAACATTATATATCTTTTGGTAAGCAAATAACAGCCTGTTGCTGTCATTTATCTGCTGCCTCTTCCCTCTTGCTCAATTTTGAGTCATTGACTGATAGATTACATGTATGACATTAGATTAGATGACATTTCTTAAAATCAGCAGATTATTTCTCAATAATCAGGCCTTGCACTTAATGTTTTGTACTCGCCCACAGGACTAGTAAATTGAGTTTGTTCCTAGCCCACAGCAACTTTTACTAGCCCTCACTAAATTTAAAACAAGATTAATTAAATGCTGGCTTAGTTCGTACCACTGACTTAGTTAAGATCCTGAACAAAGTTATTGCAGTTTCTGTCACATTTTGAAACACAGCAGAACAGAAAGTGAAAATATTAAAAATAAGATAAGATTGCAGAAGTAAGCCTCCGTTTATACAGTACATGTAGAGTCAACTTAAAACTCACTGTCACTTGCACAAGCATTTTGAAAAAACTTGTCAATCAATGAGCCCATTCCATACAGGTGCTGTTGTATTTCAGGTATTAGGCGCAGTGATAATTCTGGGTTTTACGGTTGGGGAGTATTTTAGATTCCTGATTCCTGAGTTTTCTTTGTGGGTGGTGCCTTTCATGCCGCCCGATCGGAACGAATGCGACAGCAGTGGGTGTTTGAAAAATGAGCTTGAAAAAGATTGTAGAAAAATGTCCCTACATGTACCTAACTTATAAACTACCATAAAATTCATTTATTACTAAAGTGTGTTTTCACACGTCCTTTTGGAAGTAAAATTTAGGAGTTTTAAATTCCCAAAGTTAAAAAAATGTCATTCCATGTCATTTCACGCAAATTCCCAGAACCTCCCCAGTGACACCTCTTCAATTTGCCTGATTTTGTTGTTATTTTGCTTTAATGGTGCTTTCAGCAACTGGGGCTATTTGTGCCATAAACTGTACGTTTATTCATACTCTTAATCAGCATCACATTACGGAGCTAGGAAGAAGGTCCAGTTTTATAGAGGCAGGAGGAAACCGGAGTACCCGGAGAAAACCTGCGAGAGCGAGTATGGACTGGAAACTAAATGCACTTAAAGCCTGGACAAAGCCTGGGCCAAGCTGGGACTCGAACCCAGGCCTCATTGGTGCAAAGCGAGGAAACAACCACGATGCCAACCCGCTCCCCTTTGCCTGATTTTTATTCTATTAGTGCCTTTTGATGTCAAATGAAAGAATCCCAAGTTTGACCTTCGTAGCTCAAACGGTTTTCAAGTTATGGCCCTGCAAAGTTTGGGTGCCACGCCCACTTTTTGGATCCGGGAATTGCACACTAAATTTTGGACCATGATTTGAGGCCCATATCTTTTGTTTTAAGGTAGGTACAGACCTGTAGATTGTTATATATGTGAATTCTGGCCCTAAACATAAAAATCAGGTAAATTGAAGAGGTGTCACTGGGGAGGGTGTGTGACTTGACATGGAATGACCCAAAAGTCTGTTTCCTGCTCAAACCATTAAACAGGCCATGTCCTGTGATCTCTTGTCCTCCCCAAAATTTGACTAGTTTCCTTGACTGTGTACATAAAGTTGCATCTCTTTAGTCGGTCACCAACCAAAATATTAATGTTCTTACATTATGTATGCTGGGCTCTCATGACAGTGACCACGCAGTACATTGCAGCTATTGATTTGATGATGTTTATCAATTTTCTGCTTCGTTCTTCTTAACCACTTCGCGCCGGGTTAGTTATAAATCTTAATGATGCTGGGCCGGTATAATTATCATTTTTTTTGTTTTCAAAATTCATTACAAATTCATCATTTCATTTAACGGACGTTTATACCCACAGGCAGTAATCTTCAGGCACTACTCTAAGTTGACAGGTGACGTTAATTGACGGCCAAGTATTTCAGCCAGGCCTGCAGCCTTGTAAAAAGAGCCCAGGTTGTGCAGTGTTATGTAATATTCTTTTGTTCCCAAAACTGGAACAGTGCACTGCTGACCTCTTTTCAATAGGGGCCAGATTAGCGTGCAGCGGTATTGTGTGGCTCGTTGCTGCGGTGGCAGAGCATTTTCTGTCCCCGGTGGTAATCTGCTCGCTCTAAATGCCCAAAACCGTGATATACTGTTTCAGAACAAGGCTGGATTATCTCCACTTTTGAGGGTGAAAAATGTTGGTAATGCCCAGCAGCCTGGTCTATTGTTTGGAGTACGTTTTTTTGTTACAGTGCCCAGTTCCTTTTGTCCGATTTTGAAGACCCCGGCCACGTGTATCAAGCATACCGGGTATGTCGCCGAAACCGGAGTCCCAGACGCGAAGTGGTTAATTACAGTGTAATACATGTTTTATTACAACTCTCTATTTATTCCTCTTGTACAGTGCACTTTAATCAAGAACATGTTTGATGTTGGAACTGTTTTGAATGTACAATAACTCAGCTCAATGGTGAGCTGCATGCCTGCCACAGCTACCCACTAAGGTTTTTTTACTTGTCCGCCGGGCTAGCAAAGTGGTGGATTTTACTAGCCTGCTGCAGGCCTGTTGTGCTGAGGTCGAGCTCTGACAATACTGAAAATATGATTTTTCCTGGTTAAGATTTTTGGATAAAGCCAGCGGCACTTGCTATTGACACTTCTTTGTCTGGAACCCACTTAGATCACTATGACAACCAGGATGGTGAGCCTAATAAGACATCTGCACCTGTGGTTCACACCAGTCCATCAGGAAACTTCTCGGGTGATGTACAGATCGACAGAACAACATCAGACTGGATTCAGAAGGTAATTGAGGGTCAGTCATGGAATTTGTCAGTGCTGGGATAGACAATTCTTGGCCCAAGAACTGATGAAAAAGAAGTGGTGTTTGGTGCACTCCAGGTGCATTCTTATAGAACGTTAGTAAAGCTGCTTTTGATGCTGTCATGTCATCATCGCTGTTCATCTTTCATATCAAGTATGTCAGACACTCCATGCAGCTCTCTGGGGAGTATACAGCTTAACCACTTCCTGCTGGGGACTCTGGAATCGGAGATGTACCGGTATGCTTTATTTGCGTGGCCGGGGTCTCCAAACTTGGAAACAGGAAAAAGGAAACAGGGCCCGGAAACAAAAGACCGTACTCCGAACAAAAGACCAGGCTGCTGGGCATTACCGACATTTTTCACTCTCAAAAGTGATGATCTAGCCTTGTTTTGAAATCGTATACCAGGGTATGGGGCATTTGGAGCGAGCGGATTACCACCAGGGATAAAAAGCGCTCCACCACCACAGTGATGAGCCACACAGCACCGCTGCATGCTAATCTGGCCCCTATTGAAAAGAGGTCAGCAGCACACTGTGGCAGTTTCGTGAACAAAAGACAGTTATACAATACTGCGCAATCTGGGCTCTTTTTACAAGGCTTCAGGCCTTGAGGATAGGTAGTCGGACCTTGTGATAAATGGCTTACCTGTGGCATAAAAACTACGCATCACTTCACTGTTTTGAAGCAGAGACCACTCCTGAACAGTGGCATAGCAAAGGAATTTTTGGGCGGTGTGGTGTGCCAGAGTCAATTTGCTGATTTGTAACTTCTTTGCCAACCTTGGTTGTGTGAAATTCAGAAAGTGATCCATTGTGCACTACAATTTCATGCTTCAGGGAAAATGGCGATGGCAAACGTATTTGGTTTATGTACATATTTATTTATATTTATATCCAACAGTGCATTTAGTGCCAATTACAATATGATAATAAGTGAATAAGACAATGAGGTCAAAGGTCAATTAAGCTAAAACAATAGAATTCTCGTCAGCGCGATAACTTCAGGAACTTGAACTTCTTTTTCCATTATTTTCTCATACCTGGATTTTTCCAAATACTCTTAATCCCCATATTTTATTGGTTAATATTCAAATGTCAACAAAACTGTTTCATGTTCGCCTGTTTTACTACAGTTTGCTCTATTGAATCGTGGTTAGGGAATTTCATTTGGGGCAGGCCATTTGTCTTTGTAAACACACCTGACTTGTTGCAATAAATTGACTGGATTTAAATGTAAATTGGAGTTCTTGGCTGCTCTTCATAAATTTAGATTTTTGTGCTTATACTCATAGGTTCTGAAGGAGAAGCCAAATGGCATTTGGGCCAGTGCTTTGTGTGACATGCACAAGAAAGTGTTTGACCAAACACTGGACCCAGGCGTTATTGGTACGATGGCACAACACAACCTCATCCAGAGGGAAAGGTAACGTGGGGATAGATGGGCCCTTTCACCTGCCAGGCTTGGTTGAGCCTTGCCCCTGTGTTGCACCCAATGTCAAACAGGCTGTCAGTAGGTTTACACCAACAGAACCATTTAACAGTTGTTGACTAGTGTGATGTAGCAAGTGACTTTTCGAATACCTGAAAGACAGAAGAACTTTGAGCCCAGAACTTTTCGGTGCTACATGTATGCCTATAAGATAAGAGCTGACTTCAAGTGGCCAGTATACTGATAAATATCAATTGATGCGCAATTAGTGTTGTTAGAATCTTACAAATGCATTAGAATAGATCTTTTGCAGTACGTATCTGAGCCTAAGGCTGTGTCCAAACAACTTGGCTGCTGATTGTAGTTTCATAGATGCTTGTTATTTTGAGCTATTGCCATATCATTTGGATGCTGCCTGAATTGGATATATAGTAAACTCCGGCTAAGTCGGCATCACGTAACTCGTCATATTGTCTAAGTCGGCCTTTTGACAAAGTTCTGATCGTCTGTAATGCATTGCATTTCCATTTCATTGCATTTCTAAGTCGGCATTAATAAGTCATTTCATATAAATAAGCATATTTTTCTTGGTTCCTTTTCCACGAAATTACAAAAATTCCTTTGTGTAAGTGGGCATTTTAAAAATATTTGCTTTGGTATCAGCTTCCCTTGCCATGGTTGCCAAGAAGGGTCAGGTGGCAATTCCCACACTGCTTGACTGATGTCTGTTTATTAGCAGCACAGGCTGTGGTTGATTGTTGGCCAGCATGAGTACATCAATACCAGTAACCCCTCTAGTGCTACACGTGTGCGCTCTGTCTATTTTGGGGGTCGCCTTATTGAACGAACATAACCAATGCGTGTGCGGATGAGTGTATGTTTTCTGTACCGTAACTGTATCGCATACGTACTGCACTGTCGAGTTGTGATGTGATATGCAAGTGGCTTGCCGTCCTTGCTTCGTCCTTAGGGGCACATGGTCAATTATGGAATTTGCAGCCCTGAGGATACTAATCGAGAACAAATTTGCTGGGATTGACCATGGAGGTAGAAATAAACCAGGGTAAATCAAAGCTATTGAATTAGTGCAAGGAATCATAATGCACAATGTACATAGGCACTACATGTGTACGTTTAAGTCAGCAAAATGATGACTTACAGCACAAGTGTGCATTTGTGTAAGTTGTCATAATTTCTTGAGTCCTGAGAGTGCCGACTTAGCTGGAGTGTCTATGTCTTCGGTTTGTCTTAGCCAAGACAGTGTCCTTTTTTGCACCCAGCCTCCCCATCATCATCAGTAGCAGATTTCAGAGGTGTATGGACATTCTGTGAAATGAGCCTTGTACGAGGTGGTAGATTGCTCCTGTGAGGAGAGGCCTGTGTGATATCTGCTAGAAGTAAGTTTTTCTCACCTTTGTTATCCTAGTATCATGGGCAGTGTCATCCTTTATCCCAAGCTGACAGTGTGCCTTGGTGACTCTTCTGTATCAAAGACAACACAAAGGTCAGTGACCCTTGGCCCTAGAGATTATCCGGAGGTAGGAGGGGCCGCTGAGAAGGAGAACCAGACTGGAAATGGGTCGTTATGGAGGTTTGTACAAATATTGAAGTTGTGCCATGTCACAGCAAATTTGTCATTAAAGTCCACAATTATCAACATTATGGTGATTTTTTTGGGGGGGTGAGGGATTGGGGCAAGAGAACATTGTTCATCTGTGAAAGTCTTCATGTAAGTTTTCAGTCCATATTTACAGACTGTCATGAAATTCTGATCGATTGGTATTTGTACTCTGGATTCTGTTGTTAGTTGCAGATTCCGTTGCTTGGCGTAAATTTTTTGTCATGCATGAGTAGCTTATTCATGATGTAGATTTTCTCACCATTTGTATTCTATCTCAGTTACCCTAAAGCCGAGCCTTATGAAATCCCCTTGCTTGCTGAGCTCACACACCCAACAGCTTTCCCCAATCGTCAAGACTCCAGCCCTGCTGACCTGAGTATGACAAGCATACTGCAGGCTGTGTGCCAGCGACAGAACGTGCAACTCAATTACAAAACGGATTATGTCATCCTTCACGGAAATTCATATCATGTTGTGCGTTGCACTGCTGGGCCACAAGTTGGCATAGCTTATGGCGTTACGGAGAAGGCTGCAATGGAAGGGGCATCAGCCAACGTTCTTTACCGGTGGAACATAATGCCAGGCGAGTTACCTCAGGCTGTCACAGGTTGTGAGGAGCTGTACTTGAGAGTCGAGCATCAGGCCGGGTTGTGCAACTGCACCTTGGTAGAGCGTGACGATGGCTGTAAAGTGCCCAAATGTGTGGCCAGTTGGTTGAAGAGGCGGTCGTGGAAGCCTTCGGATGACTGGGTCGACCAGCAAAATCAGAGACTTGTTCCAACTGTCAGTGTGGCCCGGCGGACTGCACATCTGACCCAAGATGAGAGATTGGAAGCAAGGGCAGCTCGTTTCTGTCTCAAAACAACTCCTGAGGAAGAAGAATCTTCAAAAGCAGCACCTCTTATGAGTTTATCCTTCTCTCCACGCAGAGTTGAAAGGTTCTGCGTTTTCAATTCTAAAACCTTGCAGCAGCTGCAAGATGGAAAACATAGTTCTCAGGTACCAAAGAATGATTGCATCCCTAGCAAGCTATCCTCAACTCGAGAAGTCAGTGTTGATCTGGAAGCAGCTTGGAAGACTGACCAAAGCTTTCCAGATGTACAAGAACACAGAACAGGCTTGAATTCTTCGTCAGTGGCTACACAAGACGAGATTCTAAAATTGAGGGCGGAGAGAATTGGGCTCACATTACATGGGTATACTCACTCAAGAGGCGACATGCAGTCCACTCCAACAGCAACCACAGGGGAAACAGATGACAATCTCAAGTTGGCAAGAGGCATCCAAAGTGACATGGCCACAGCACCCTCACAGAGAGCCTTGGACCTGGAGATCCGGCAAGTCCTCCGGGAGACCTTTGGCCGAACTGCCATCTATGAGACCGTCAAGGATTTGGGCTCTGGGAAGCATCCACTTGTCAGTGTCTGCTTCATTGCTGGGTCGGTCATTGGAGTTGGCAAAGGGCGGAGTAAGTTGGAAGCCAGGAAGGCAGCTCTAAAAGAGCTGCTGATGAACCAGAGACAGTTGAAAATGAAGCTGGAAACAAAGCGCCTCAAGAAGGTGGATCAGGAGGAGATGCCAAACCTCCCGGCGCAGACCCCGGAGTCTGTATCAAGGATCGGCAAAGATGATGTGTCAGCATCTCAACCAAAGAACTTGACCCAGATTGGAGGCCAGAATGATACAAATTTGCCTTGTGGTCAGGGCTTCACAAGGTGGCAGCAGAAGGTGGCCCCTGCACCAGGCTGTCCCAGGTTGGCCACGCGTACATCCATCTCCACTACAAATTAAATCCAAAATTGAAGTCGTCCTAGTTCTATGTAATTTATGATTGTTGAGCACCGGTCACAGCTAGAACGATGATAAACTGGTCATGGTATATCTTGATGAGACTGATTACATCAGTGCCTGTGAAGTCTTACACCTCTTGTGCCATAGCATAAACTGTTCATGCGCTTTACCCAGTGTGAGTGGTCAATCATGAAATTTGTCAACACTGGATGTGAACAACCAGCCTAAAAGTTCATTGTATGACATAAGTTCCATCATACATCTAGAAATTCTCTTTAATTTTGCTTCATAGTACAAACCACCCTTGAATTAGCCAAATGCAGTGTAGAAAACCATTGGTGCTGTCTTTTCTACTTTCAATGTCTTTGTTATCATTCTGGTGTGACCAGCTCTAAGCATTTGCACAGCAAAGTTTGCTTCCCATTGTTCCTGGCAGTTTTTAGTTTTCATAGCATTGTTATCAGTTGGTTGTCACTATTCTTGGTGCACTATTCTTGGTGTGTTCACATTGGTTGCACCTGTCTAGATACAGTATGTACTTTGTGTATCATCCTGATGGCTTACAAAAAGCCTTGTGCTGTTACAAGTTGGGGAAGGTTGGATTTATAGCGAAGGCACTTCAGTGTAAAAAGTTTCCCTCACAGTTGCGGGTGTGGCTTGGAAGGCGTTGAGTGACATCTCACCAAAAAGATGTCAACATTGCAGCGTCTACTCCACTTGGCTGGTCATCATTGTGGCTGACATTTTCAGACCACTGTGCCAACTTTGTTCCTGAAGATTTGTGCAGTGAAAAAAATCACCTCTTTTCTCCCAAATGCTCCCTCTGTGAACACGCCTGTCATTGTGTTACAAAGCTACCACCATTGTTCTTAACCACTTCCTGCCGGAATTTAGGATCTGGACACGTATGCTTTATATGTGTGGTTGGGGTCTCCGAACTCAGACAAAGGGAACAGGGTCTTGTAACAAAAGTCCGTACTCGGAACAAAAGACCAGGCTGCTGGGCATTACTGACATTTTTTCACTCTCAAAAGTGGAGATAATCCAGCCTTGTTTTGATATAGTATACCACGGCTTCGAGCATTTGGAGAGAGCGGATTAACACTGCAGTTATGAGCCACACAGCACGGCTGCGTGCTAATCTGGACCCTATTGAAAAGAGGTCAGCAATGGCACTGAGCCAGATTCGTGAACAAAAGAAAGTAAGATAACACTGCAAAATCTGGGCTCTTTTTACAAGGCTGCAGGCTTGGCTGAAATACTCGGGTGTCAGTAGATTTTGTCTGTCAGGCTAGAGGGGCCATGAGACAGTCCTTCACTTGTTTGTATTAAAGTGTCCAGTAAATGAAGATAGGAATTTTTAAAGAATTTTGAGAACAGAAAAAAATGATAAATATCCTGGCCCAGCATCATCAACATTGATAACTGCCCCGGCAGGAAGTGGTTAATGACTAGATTCGAGTCTAATTTTTTTTAATTTCTGAAAATTCTGGCTGTTGCTGTCTTTTGCATTTGTTCACCGCGTTTGTGGTCTCATTTTTGCCCCAGAATGTTTGACTAATCCTAACAACCATGTCATTTTTACAGTTTAATCTAGGATTTTAATTTATTTTCACCTTACTTTAAAAAAACATTTTACAGGAGAAGGAATATTTTGTGAGATGCAATTTGAAAGTTTTTTGGGTGAAAGTGGAAAATATATTGATATTTCCATCGTGTTTGCAGGACGTCTGCCCTTTAAATCTCCAGAAAAGTCTTGACTACTTTTTGCTCTGTGCACGTTTATTGTGTTTTTGGGGGTGATCTGCTAGTTTGCGTTTTGTTTGCATTATGTTATATGTATTTGGTTCAGAATTTAAAGCTGAACATCAGTACGAAATTTGTTGATGCACATGAATTTAACTTCCCCCTTTGTTGATCTTCATTCCTTTCGAATAGGAGATCCTCTGACAGCCTCTCCCCCAGAACAGCTTCCCCAGGTGTGTCATTGCCAGGGGGCAACCCCAGTGCACCTGACGATCAGCTGCCGAGGAACACTCCACCCCAGGATTCTGATGCTGCAGGAATTACTCACAGCCTTGTGGGTGTGCGGCTTGCTGAGACCCAGTCACTTGCCAGTGCATCCACAGAAGAGACATCCAGTGAACCACGCGGGGGATTGGTCTTATCCAACTTGGAAGTGCCCGGTGTACCCAGTTTGCAGTTGCCAGAGGAGAATGAGTGGGATGTGTACGTGGCATACATCACAAGTTTGTCTGACTTCTGGGTCATACTCATCGGAGATGAGTATTCGGTGAGGAAAGTGGTTGGTCTGCACTTGCTTTCCATGTGGAAATTTTCGGGCAGTTCACTTTGTTGATTGTCAAGATGCTGACTTTTTTTTTTTTCACTTTCCAGGAGCAGTTGATCATCTTGGAGGAGGAGATGAGGACCTTCTACCAGTGCTGCACCTGGACTCTGACGGAGCCCCCTGAGGCAGGAGACTGCTACGCGGCCGAGTTCAACCGCGAGTGGTTAAGGGTGGAGGTCAAGTCCGTCGAAGGAGACAAGGTGAAAGCAGTGATGCTATTCACATCTGAACTGGGGAGGGGGCATACGGAGCTGCCTGTCTGTCCCTCTGTCTGCTGTAGTTGATGTGAATACTAGGTTCCAAGGGCATAAGGTGAAAGAGGAGGTTGGGATAACTGTCCGGGAGCACACTGGGGTGCACTGATTGTTCCACACTGCTCTACTTGGGGTGTAATTTGGGTTCAAGGAGATACAGTGAAAGAAGCTGAGTCTGTCGGGGGCACATGGGGGTGCACTTAAAAGGAAGGCCCCTTTTTGGGCTACTTCCCTCGAACAGAGTTGTGTACAGTTTCATCATGGTACCGAATTGTGATTAATTCACAGGTGCAGTGTTTTCTGCTGGACCACGGTGATTTGGAGACGGCAGACATCACTTCTCTCAGACCTCTATCTGAAACTTTCCTGCAACTTCCCTTCCAAGTAAGTAGGCCAATGATGTTATAGTTTGACAGATTATCAATTAGGCTGAGGAAAATGGGAACCCTACTTTTTGTTTTGAAGATAAGAGATTATTTCACATGGAATCTGTTGTTTTACTCTTTTGCTAATTCTCTGGCATGTAAAAGGAAATTATTTTCACATCATTGGATGGATTTGAAAATTTGGATTTTTTTTTATAATTAAACTTTGCAACTAACGGGGGAAAGGGCAGGCCAAAGAGGAAGCAGTACTATCACCAAGACAATATGCTGACTGCGTGGAACTTGTAAAGTGTAATCTTACCATCCGTTGTCCAGGTGGTTCGCTGCAAGTTGACTGGTTGTGAGCAGGTTGCCAACGATGACCAGACTGCCCTGCAGATGTTCTGCCAGCTGGCTCTGGGTAAAAGTCTGCTGGCAGAAATCACCTCCAGGTCCGTTTTTGAACATTTTTTGTGTCATTGCCAGTGTTACCTGTCTCTTTATTTATTTTTATTCAATTAATTTTTGTATGTAGTAAGCTTGGAAACTCTGAGCTTTGTTCCCCCCCCGATGCATTATACACTGTGCTTTGCTCTGTGATAGTCTTATTAAACTTTGTTAAAACAAGCTCAGTGTAGCAGTTTACAAAGCAAAACTACAGAACAGGTTTTTAACCACTTCCTGCCAGGTAGAGTTTGCACGTGGGACGAGTTGCTGGGCAATGTTTCATGATTTTCCATTTTCAAAATTCTTCCAAAAATTCATAACTTCATTTGCTGGATGCTTACAACCCACATGAATGACTGTCTAGTAGCTATTCTTATCTGACGGGAAATCTT